TTGTCTTCAATGGCGGTCGTTGCAGTCGTCATATGGTTATATTCTAAGCTAAATTAACAGAGAACGGCGAAAGCGCTTTCAAACTCATTATGATTTTTGTTATATTTGTTTTTATCATAGTAAAATATTTGTACAGTAAAAGTTGAAGTCGCTACCTTCGTTTTCTCTGGTAAACGACTGATATCACTTTGACCGATTAATTTAAAGATTTTAATTAATACATGAAACGTTAAAAAATTATATGATTAACAGATTTTTAACAAACCTGTTATAAATGAATAATTTAACTGAATATTTAGTCATTTGTTAATATTTAAGCAAGGTAATAAAATGAACTATGTAAATTTGATTTTTAAAGTATTTTAAAGTTTGTTTTTTTTATATAAGATGATATAATAATACTTAAATTGGTGTTATGTATCGTTTATATTTTACCTTTGATAGGCTTACATAAAATGAGTTAGTTATTTGAAATCGTTTTACTTACAATTATTAATGAATTTAGTAATTCATCTTTGCGGATAATACTGTTATTTTTTTTTGTAGTCATTAAAGGTATTTTTTATGCTAAGATAATTTAAGATATTTCTTATTTTCCATTAGCAGTGGAGTATTGCCGATTGAGCGTAGATGATGTGGGAGATCGTGTCAAGTGGAAGTTTAGGATAAGAGTGGCCGACCCCAAGTAGTTGAGATTAAGGGCAGGAAGAAGAAGAATGGAGTATTGTTTCAAGTGAACGAATAAAACAGTCTTCATTTTGAAATAATATACGATTTTCGTCATTAATACTAATTCGCCAGTAATTATTATCACTGTTAACGCAGAAGAATGATCGTTTTCGGTCGTGGGTTTTTATTGCACACTTAAAAGACATCGAGGAATCAACTATGTTTAGTAATTGATTTTGATGTATTGGTTTAGACAGCGGTAACCGTGTCTTTTCTCTCGATTCGATGATTAATTTAGAATTAAATATTTATATTATAACTATAGCAATTATATAATAACAATAATAATATACTTGCACGTTATACAGGTTAACTTAATTATAAATACTTTTCCATAATGTCAGAGCCGATTTCCTCTCAAACGTTTATGTTGTCCCTAAAGAACACCTGTCTTTGCGGAAATCAAATCTACTGAAAGGTGTACATTATCCATATGAAATGAACAACAATTTCAAAATGTTTCTTTGTTTAAAAATAAATGAAAAAGTATTTTATTCAACGGAGCACTTTTCTTTTCGTATAGTACATATGTTGTTTAACTGGGAATTTGATTTCTTTGTATGAAAAAACGTACAATGAGCCAACCTTATGTTCTAAACTATTTCGTAATATTGTGATAGGTATAATTTTAATGGAATCATACGGTCGTGCACTGGAGAAATTTACAGAAAGAACAATGGTTAATTACTCGTGGGCTGTAGTTTATCCGTCTGGATTATGTCGTTGTTATGTTAGAACTCATAGTCCACATAGTCATCACTGTTGTAGGATTTTGTATGTCACTTTTTACACGTAATTAAAAAAATAATTAAAATTACATTGAACATTGAAATATTTGCATAACAAGTATATAATGACGTTTCTTTATGGACTATCTCAGGTATCCTATTTATTATTATTTTTAAATATCAAAATTGTTTACTTGCATTTTTAGAAAACTTCTAAAACACTTGTATATTTTGGTCTAAAAAACTGAAAGATTTATAGTATGTTCTCATATTAAATAATGTAATCGATATATTTTAATTAACTACGTCCTGTCGAAATGGAACGCGTGCGGACTATACGTGCACCTGTATGACTTAAATACATTTTTAATATATTAAAATGAATGCAACTAAATGAGTACTTATTTTTGGTCGTTATTGAACCATCAAAACGTTTTATTATAGATGAAATGTGGTTGTTTTGAAAAAAATAAAAAAAATAATTAGAATTTTTTCTTAATAGTGATAAATAATAAAATCTATGCTTTAATGGTAGTCTAATAAAGGCGATAATTGTTTGAAAAATAATTTCAATGAAATGATAATTGTATCAACAGTTTTAGGCGTTTTCTGTCAGGTCTGAGACACTTTGTATAGACATTGAAGAATACATTTTACTTCTACAATTTTTCTAATAATGACTAGCGGAATACTGTGATTTATACAATTCCATAGCAAAGCAAAAAAAAACGGTAAAAATAAAGTTGTAAACACGCAATAGTCCGTTTTAAAGCACGTTGAGTTTACAAATGCATTTTTTTTTAAATAATTATTTTTCTGAAACCAGTTATGAATTATTATTTAAGATAATAATTAATTTTTGAAATAATAAATTAATAACATAGCGAGTCATTTTTCGCATGTAATATCTATTCAGGTCTATTTGAAAATGTCATCGTTCCGTTATTACACGTTGAAGAAATAACTGTTTTTCGGACCATACTTTTTACTGGTTGTACAGCACACACTTAAGGACTCGTGACCGACTAGATTTTTGTCTGATAAAACAGTATGGCACGTACACACTTGTCGCCGAGTTTCCTCACACAGGTTTCCCCTATTTCGTCAATTCCTTCTTTGTGTGCACTGTTTATACTCACACACACTCGAGTGCGGCCTATAACGCAAGACAGCCGAAAAAAACCATTTCATCGGTAAACAAACGTATATGTTAGTTAGCTAAGGACGGGCTGATGTGTCATTGTAGCAGACAGTGGAAACTAAGTATCTAACGATTTTCTAAAAAATCTGGTACATGCTTAGAATTTATAAATCTCACTCGTAATGTCAAATCAACGTTTATTTTTGTCGATTATCTTCAAACATTTACAAAATAATTGCAAATTAGAATGCTGAAGCTAATTTCATATAGATGAGCATTTCCCAAGGCTATTACCCGTCTGCTAGAATCCCATTCGCAATGGTATTATAATATGATATGAAAACCAAGACCGCAGGGTTTCATAGTACAAAATTGTTTTTAACCAAATGTCTGTTCAAAGTAATTTACATGTTTATTAAACGCGAAATGGGAAGAAACACATACTTCTATTATATTAAAATAAGACAATAGTATTAAAAAAAAACTAATGTAAGTTTTGCTTATTCATAAAATAAGCATTGCAAAAGAACTGTTATAATTGTTATTTACTAATTGTAATGTAAGACGAATTAGATGAGAAAATAATACTAGTAAAACATGATTGGGAAACAATCATGTGAAGAGCTAAAAGTACATATTGTGTTTCCACCATTTTTGTCCATACGGTATGCTTAACAACTCTATTGTTTACCTAATTATGAGCCAATATATAATAATAAAACATTAACACGACGTTATCGAGCCATGGGATTCGTTACGTATGTTAGATGCGTGTGGAAACTGTTTGCAATTTTCTTTTATTGAAATGCTGAAACTGTGGAAGTTCAATTTAGGTGTTATAACCTTGAAAAGTGGATAGCAAAATCGACGTTTATAACATAAACCATCTGTCTTTGTAAATTTATATTGTGTATTTACAACGAGGGTTAGTACGACGAGACACGAGAAATTACTTTTTAATTATTGTTTTTATTCATTTATATCAAATATACTCGAAAAGTCGTACTACTTGAAGATATTTTTATTGAAGTGCAACTGACTAGTTTTATGGACATGACGTGTTAATTATATTTGATTGCATGGTGTCAATTAGTTTGAGTTTTGCAAAACGTTTTCTATTTAGTTTTTCTATCACCTTTAGCGGCTTCAATAATTACCTCTAGTGCTTTCTTCTAGTTGACCTTCGATTTTAGGTACAAATATACACGTATGTTTAAATTTTCTAAAAATTTTAACTTGAGAGAATACAATTTTTCACGGCTATCGTTTGCAATTAGTTTGAAAAAATATTATTATTAAGTTGATAGGTATGTATAGCATCTTAAAATACAAAGTTGATTAAAATCATTTTGAATAGTGTAGCAAATTACTCATCACGAATAGTTTCATCGTTCAAATTTCATTATTATATTAAATGTTTAAACCCCTTTTTCGACGACAATTACCAACATACTTTACTTATTATTTGTAGTGTAAAAAGGTTTTCTTACAATTTTTTCAATTTAAAAAAAGAATATTTATAAAGATATAATTTGAGATTCGCCTTCTTTTTATTTTTATGTGAAATTATCAATTAATCATTTTTGTTAAATTCTAGAATTCAAATGTATTTAAATTATATCGACCTGCTTATGCGTTTTTATAAATTATTATGTACTTAAATTGTATTCTTCCTGACATTTTTTTAACAAATTTTTATCTGAAATTAAAACTATAATACAATGTTACACCTCGACCAAAAAATAACCCCTTATATACTTAGTAACGTTATCACTAAGTAATATTATCACATTTTGCCAGTTTTCACGAATTTTATAACGAAATTTTCAGGGGGTCAATGTCTTATAAGAACTTTTTATTCTTAATTGATAGATTTATGGTTCATTAATTACTGAAAAATAATTCAATTTACTAAATAATTGAGTTCAAAAGAATAGTATTTGATTAAACAAAGTGGTTTTTTATTAGTGCACATTGTAATAATGGTTTGATTTTATTTTGTTCTGAATCATTAAATATTAAACATCATTAAAAATTAAAATTATATCAAAAATATTTTTTAGTTTTAGGTTAATAATTTTAACTTTAAAAAATATTAGCGACAAATCAATTACTATGTATATAGTTATAATGTATTTTTTATAAAAAATATTTTAAAATCATTTTGTTACTTCTTATTTCCTCTTTGATTTCACGATTAATGTGATTAACCTAAAATATATACTATCTAAACGCCACTGAATTTAATTTATTATTAGGATTTATTAAATCAATAAATTATAATGATTATAGAAAATGGATATAATAATTTATATATAAATTAAACATTTAAATTGATATAATAATTTAATTTGAAACTGTGATAAAACAATCTTAGAGTACTAAAAGTAATTTCTTTTCAGGTGATTATTGCAATGTTGTCAGATATAATGATGCGAAGATAGAGCTCGTGAGCAACGAGTGTTAAACTACTCAAACCTTGCAATTTATAGATTTTGTCTTGGCCACCAGACGCTCTCATTACCAAAAGGTCAGTATTTAATTTTTATCTAACCGAATTCGACGGTTCTCATTAAATATGTTAATGGGGCTTACTTAATTTTAAGTCCTAGTAATTTCGAAAGTAAATTTAGTAGAGTAATCATCATCTCATTTTATAGAGATTATTTAAAATCCATTAAAGCGTTTGAGATTTTAAAGTCATTTCGCGTACACTTTTTATGGCAAGTTTTATCTTTATAAATATTATAAAAATGATTATTGCATGAACTAGTTTAAGTCATGACAACTTTATGAAGCGTCGGTTGGCCGGTTTCTGGTGGTTTAGTGACGTTAATTAGCAACTCTTATATGGAGAAAAATAAAATCTTCAGTGTTAATCGGTTTACAGGGGAAAAAGTGTTTGTTTTCTAAAATCTCTCTGTATTTTATGCGCATAATTTTTTGCTGCCAAATTTTTGTGACAACTAATTCGCTGCTTTATAGTGTCTCAGACACATTCACGCAATTGTAGACAGCAATTATTTTACTGGTGAAAACATTGATACAATTATTATGTATCAATTACTGCGTTTCACAGTATTGTATCGTTCTTTGATACATCATTTAATCGTACGATCATATTCTCCTATCAATTTTTGTTCACATTACACTTAGTACTTAAACGTGGATGTACTTTTAGAGGTCCATTAACATTAGTTTTTAGAAGCGCGTCGGTGTTGTTCCAGGCGTAGGTTTAAGTACGTCAAGTTATTTCATATCTATAAATGAATTATCTTTACAAAAATAATGCCCGAACTTATGGTAATATTTTTTATCATCATCCGGCGTGTATTGTAAAAATAACGTATAAGATGTATGAATATCGTACATATTTTTGAACTTGCCTACGTACTATTACTTTGGATCTAGTGGGTGTAAGTCAACAATTTAATTAGACCCTTTTGGAGAAAACGATACTTATCAGCACACGGTCGCGTAAAAGTTGTTGGCTTTGATCGACTAACTAATTTTTGCAATAATCTTATTAAAACGTTTGTATAATATTTATTTAATTTTTATCTTGTATTTTTAGATTATTATACATCGATTGAGCATTTTTAACAATCGTTTACTAGCATATACAATAAATACAATAAATAAAAACGTCAACAATTAAATTAAAAAAAAAAAACGTTTCTCCATAGTGGATAGTTGATTAAGTTTCGTATGTGTTCTATTTTTTCATAATTACCCGTGAGGATGACATATATATATAGTGATAAATATTTATAAAACTTGCATAATGTTCAATGAAAAGTTTTAACTAAGGTAAAAAGAACTTTCCAATTTACAGCTACTATTTGGGTGTATTAAGCGTATGTGTTTGTCAGATTGCAAAATCTTTATAATATCATAAATTAGAATTGATAATACTTGAATACTGATTTAAATAGTCACGAATGTTATTGTAATATACATATACGTATATTTATATACTGCGACTCTTATACTCGAAATATGTAATAAAAAACGTTAAAAACTTGCTTTGGTTAGGTTACATTAATTTATACCCAACAGATATATTTTAATTAACTAAATTAAAATATTAAAATTACGTTTAATAAAATAACCTTAATTTAAAAAAACAATTTCAATGGAAAAGGAATGTTTTCTATTCATATTGAACAGTATAACGGGCAAATGTCAGTTGATTTGGCAATTTACTGCAGATTTTTTTTGAAAATAGTTTGGGGAAATAAAGTTTGATTGAACTAACATGACTAACCAATATTTTTGGACATACGAAATTCCATATTTAATAATACACAAAAACAAATTGTAAAATTGCAAATATTGACCTGATTTGTATTTATTTATTTTTTGAAACGTGTACAGCTTGTACTCACGTCGTCAAGGTTTCTACATTTTTTTAAGATTATAATTTGTTATTAATATATAATAATGACGGAATAAACATTATACATATTTTGTTAATGTGTTACTTGACTGTTGTTTTATTTAATTAATAATCTTGACCATTGTTGATCATCATGGCTTAAGCTTCTATGCCAACTGTTTGGGGTTGGTTAGCTCTACCTTAACGATTTGACGGAATTTTACACCGGCTGTCGACCTGACACAACCTTATTATGGCTGAGGGAAACGGTATGGGGGCAAGGTGTGCGTCACTGTTAAAGTTCCCATAGGGTCACCTATGTAACATGATAAGGGTACTCTTCTGGCAATCAACAGCAAACAGGGCAGTTTAACATCAGCGTTTAAGCATCGACCGATTGGTTCACTGGGCTACAAATTTAACATTGTTAAGGTGCACAAATAATTTTTCATCAAAATGTATTCAATTAAAAATGTACAATTGAATTTGTGTCGCAATATCGGAATTTCTTCGCAGAAACGTCCCAAGGAGGAAATCATCTTAGTGGTGCAAAAAAATATCTTATTAATTTTAAAAGTTCATGGATATTTTCAATTTTTAGCATTGTTATAGCAAAAGTTGTGTTTTAGGTTTACTGTGATTAGATAAAGTATTCTAAAAGTGTCGTTGTTTTGTATTGTGATTATTGAATAAAATTAATAAATGGCCTAACATACATGACAGATATGATACACATTATTTTTGACATGTGTCAGAATTAGCAGAACTATTCGAAAACAAAATGTGGGTAGAGTTTTTCTTAGTCATTGATAACTTTTTAAGGGGAATCGAGTAATTGGTTCGAAAGGCGATGATGAATTCTAAAAGTCGTGTACCAATAAACGCGCTCTATTTTCAATTATCATAATTGACCTTTCGTCCATATTCGGTTGTATTGAATCTCTCCGAAGACAATCAGACTAAATAAAGTCGTGTTAACTTAGTTAGGGTACAAATTGTTTTGTCACGACGTAAATTTCTCTTATAAGCTCTAAAATGATGTTAAAGTATACATTAATTTCTCTTTTTTGTTAAAAAATAAAACATCTCAAATTATCATTCAATTGACGATAACCGTTTTCCTACGATTAGTAGTACGTGCCTATAAATTAAAGTTATTATTTTGAACGTTTTTTTTTATTGTTTTTACAGGAATCGACTTTACCGTAATTACATGGTCAGTAGATTTTATAGTGTTTAATTGTACGCTATCATGTCGTAGGAGGAGAATTATGTCCTACAGATAAATAAAAAAAATACCTACGAATGAGTTTTTAGATACTTTATTTCTTTTTGCCTATTATTTGTACACTATTACTGATATTTACCTGGATTCATCATATAGTGCTTTTATGTATGCCATCTAATTACTTATATGCATAGGAGTTGGCTGGCTTCAAATTGGAGATTATTTAAACATTTTGTTCGATTTCACTCCTAAATAGAACGACGAATGATAATAATTTATATAATCATTTTTCATAGTGAAAATATACCACTTGATAGTGAAATGAAATTTTTATGAAAACTATTCAATATACCATAATATAATCATATTTAAATACAAGTAACTATAAATTAAAAATATTTATATTCCTATATGATGGGACTCATTTCAAATTTTTTTCTCGTGAGCTTTTTTCAACCCCTTTATTTATTCGTATCTCGTTCCAGGAGGACTTTAATGTCGATTAATTAACACTGTTGCAGTGAACTTGATTCAACGTCAAGTTATTAAGTTGATGCTGTTTCAGTCGCAAACTGGTTTAAATACATTAACAAATCAATATAAAAACATATTCTAGTTCAATGGCAATGTGAACTAGAAAAACTAGTAATATCGTCAGTAATGAGTGTTATTAGTAAGGACCCGTTTGATGATGGTTTGTCTCTTCAATTCAAAATATTTTTGATTGCTTGTTTGGATGCTGAATGTAAGGACGATTCGCGCAATCGTCTAATTATATAAAACTAATTATATAGTCGTATAACCATCATATTTTAAAATTATTTCTGAAAATCTAATGATAATTAACTGAATCAAACTGTGTAATTAATAAAACGGTTTTGAATACTCCCAGTCGTTTAAAGTAGGATACATGATACGATACCTTGTTTTTATAATATTACCATCAGTAATTGAAGTCCGTTGCCAGCTAAATGATTTATCATTGTCTGTTAGATATCGATGGCAGTAATTAATTGAAAATTGGCACCTTAATAATACAGTAATCAATCTAGTAATTACAAATTTAAAATTAAATACTGATATAATCGTCGCTATCGTTGAATCAACATTTTACATTAGCTACTGGTAATTAAATAATTATTGATGAATGATTTAGCTTGTTAATGCGAATGTAATTAAGATTTTATAGAAATCGAGTAATAAACACTTGTATTGGAACCATCTGACTGTTTGATGACTTGGCGAATTTGTTACACGGTATAGTTCAAGGTAGAATTTGAAATTCTATCCCGTCACAACATCTCCTTGAGAATACTCAGACTAAAAAATTAGCAAATTCTAATGCGGCTTGATGAAATGTAAACGGCGTTAAATGAGATGCCTTACCTCGTTAAATGTTTACAAATCGCAGCAAACAGTGTTATATCATACATAATATTATAATGTATTAAAACACAATGTTGAACTGTAAGATATTATTGGTACTTTGTCGCGAGCAATCGACTAAAAGAAAGGTGTTTTCATCGTAGTACAACATGTACAAACACATCATGTGTTTCGAGTTTATATAATTTAACTTGGACAGCGCACGTTTTCAATGTCTTTTTGTCGTGTAGTTTTTTGTTGCTGTGCGGAGGAACGACCGCAGGCCTTGATGGAATTTTGTATACGTTATATATTGGCGGTTAAGGGAAAACTTTGTGATCGTTCTGCATAATTATCAATCGCATAGAACTCGGGCGTTCTAAAAGAGTGAAGTTGCATTTGTTTTATTATTTGTGCATTGTGTTCATTTTCGTTCTTACCTCTGTTTTGTATTGCACGTTACTAGTGTTATTTAACGAGCGCAGTTGGGTGAAAACGTCAGTCGATCGTGTGGTAAAGGCGTTATGCATTACAAAATGGCTGCAGGGGCAAATATCAG